AAGAACACAAAATTCTTACCTGGAAGTGTTCCGTACCAATTTTAAACAGGATTACATACCTAGTTTACTTGAACAAATCTGTATGAGCTTGTCTCGATTCCTTTGCTTCTCAGGACCCTTACTAAGAGGACTGCATGCATGCCTGATTACATCAGTACATATAAATGTATGTGTATAATTTCAATTTCTAAGTTCTTTCAGCTTTTCTAGAATTACTGGCATTGCCTCTCTTGAATATTAAGACAACTTGTAAAATATTTCTAGCCATATCCAGAAATCTCACATTCTAAAACAAGTTATTAAACCAAGCCAAATCTAATCCTTATAGAAAAATAGGTTTATTGAACAAGTGCATGGGCAAGCACAAAAGAGTCTACTTGTACATTTAGCAGCCAGAAATGAAAAGCCTTGTTTAGAATTTTTTTTTAATCAGTGTCTAAGAAAATCATCTGAAATCTCAAGGCAGTGCTGTTGATTTTTATTTATTTTTCCCCTAGCTTGGTATGCATGTTATGTTCTCTGTCTTCCTAACATTACGCCCATCTCAAACATTCTCTGTCAAAAACAGAATCAAAATAACATAGCAAAGTTAGCAATCAAAGTTAGATCCACATGCATCGGGTCAAAAAAAAAGAGGGAGAAGGGGAGAAATAAGCATGTCTAGTTGTTTCCTAGGGGTTCCCCATAGTTTGCATAGCGTTCGTGTTCCAGGTCACTCAGCACATTTCGTTTCTTGCCAGGAGTTCCAGCCCCGACGTCAGTGCGAGGGTAAGTTTGCAATTTGTGCAATTCTTGAGACAGTTTGCCCAGCACACAAGTACTCAGACTGGCACAGCGTTTGGAAATAGGTCTATCCAGGCTGCAGGGGGGAAAAAAAAAACATGCCCAAAGGAAGAGGAATCTCAAACATGCACGTTCATGCATTTCGTCCCTAGGTAAATATCTACAGTTAGGAAATGTAAAAAATAAAAAATAACCCTTCCACATCACATTCCATGCAAGGAAGGTTCATACAAATGCAGTCAAGAAGGAAAACGCTGTTTTTCAATGAATTCAACTTTGTCAAAAAAGCAAGTTCATTAGCCTTTTGGATGCTCGTAGTTAGGCATCAGGAAGTTTTACTTCCCATGTATTCAGCATGCTGTTCAGTCTCTCATACATCACCACCATGCTTTGCAATACAAATCCTGTTAAGATAATGCAGATGTTCTCGCATGCCTTTGGTCTACGGGGAAGACTGGCTCTGCGTGCATTAGGAGGAACACATCCCCTCTGCCAGCAACTTTCCATGCCTTACAACAGCATGCACTTTCACGACAGAGAATCCAAGAGTGACTGAATGGCCCCTAACACTCCCACTAGGAAGACATACCTTTTGCTGCCATATTTTAACACAACCCCCTCATTCAAGCTCAAATCGCCCTCCACTTTCAGTTGTAAAAGACAGATAGAAGCAGGTTAACTAGGTGAAAGCCATTCTCCCAATACCAACATTAGGATGTCTCTGCAGTATCGTCCTTTACCAGTTAGGTGATCAGTTAGCCATAACACCAAGAAAAGAAAAAGTCTTGACCTGCAAGAGGGTCTGCTCAGATGGCTTTTGCTAAATATCAAACACATAACACCCCCCCATTGCCCTTCTCCTGCCCCAGGACTGCAGTCCTTACCTGTTCCCCTCAGAGGCTTGCTCCAGCTCTTCTGCTGTCATCTGTATGAACTCTTTCACCAGCGCATTTAATAACCTCCGAGCTTCGTAATCACTGAGCGTCACTCGATCTGTTATGGACTCCAAGCCAGGTCTAAGCAGAGGCAAGCAAAACAGCATGAATAAAGCCTGGACTGCTGCAGAGAGCCACGCACAGGAGAGAGGTTTGGTCATGCATTACTGCATGTCATTGACAGTGTCTTTCACCAGTGTGAGTATGTAAGCCACCCTCATGCACAGCATTAGGTGTTTTATAAGTGTAATTTAAAAGCCACACTGTCAAAAATAGCATCAAACGAAGCCAGCTTTCTCATTCACTGTAGCCTGTTTCCCTCCTAGGTCTCTAAAGAATCTTAAGTATTTTCGTACCATTCAGATAGAGCACTCAGCAAGAGGACCAGCTTCTTACCTGACTGGGGCCGCCTGGAAGCTATCCATCTGGCACACAACCAAGGCATAAACGGCAAGGAAAGATGAAATCTTCAGCATAACCATGATTTCCTCCCTACAACAAAGAGGTACATCAAGCAATGGCTGTTTTCCAACCCTCTCAATCCTGTAAGATCTACTAAAGCGGTAGTCATTGTTTCCTAGCCACAAGCAGCACAAATACTAAGAGCTTTTTTTTTCTTTTTTAATGTTTCTTTTGATTATTGCTATCGTGCTTTGGTTTTCTCAGAATTTTAAGATTACTTAGCACTATTACAGAGGATAAAAATGCAGCTTTTCAGAGCTGCAGTTCTGTACAGCTAGCTGCATTCAACTTAACGTAGACTTTCCTTCAAATTGGTGAAAAACACGTTCCTCCGACTAACTACTGCACACAATGCCATAGTCAGTGTGTTCAACACGAACAGGCACAGTTATGGGATAAGAGTCACAAGAAAAAAGTGTTTAGTGTTTAATATTTTTAAGAATGAAGTGCTACTGTTAGCACTTTACCTGAAACTGCTTGCTTCTCGGCAGTTAGCACACTAATATCCCAGTTCAGATTACACTATAAGAACCAAGTAGTTTAATTTCAACAAATATTTCTACTCTGAAACCAGAAAAAGGATGAGTTAAAAATTAGTCATTAGAGCAAAATCCGTAAAGAAAATATAATTGAAGATATCGGCTTTGAGACACACCTCTTTTTTTTCTCATAGCATCGGTATCTTCCACTCAAGAAAGCACATCGTTAACTACCGCACCAGCTTCGTTTTTGCTAGCTCCCAATTCCCGACGCGGCTCACCGGAACGACGAGGCACCTTCCAAAGGACGCCCCGCTTCCCCACGGGTCCCGGGGCGCCCTGGACGGTGCCCAGCACCGGCAGAGCACCGCGGAGAGCCGTCCTGCATGCCTGGCGGGACACCCCACGCCGTGTCGGCGGGGGAAAGGAAGAGAGAGACCGAGGACTAACTTTCTCCCACCTTCCTTGGCTCGCTTCCTCGCACACGCGTGTGCCCACGCGTACCCAAGCACATGAACGAAGGCATTACGGCCCCGTGCAAAGCTCCACGCCCCGGGAGAGAAACGGGACTCACGCGAC